TTTTTTTTTTTTTTTTTTTTTTTTTAATAATAACGATTTTGTTATCAAGGGACCGAGTGAGAACCACCAACAACATGTTAGGGGACTGCTACGCCGCCGCTGTCGTCGAACATCTATCGAAAAAAGAGCTCATGGCTCTCGATGCTGCCGCATACCAAGTGAGCAATTCAATTGATTAAATGATTTGTCTATTACACAAAAAATATAATGCAAATACATTGTCTTGTTAATCATTAACAGTCGGAAACTGTTGTACTACCAACAACAATAGTCAACGGCTGTATATCAGCGAATAGGGTACCCGATCCCGATACAGTTATCGTGGAAATGCAGGACGAGACTCGAATATCCGGCATCGCCAAGTAAAAAAACTTGTCGGTAGGGCTAGGATCATGTTACTCAACATCACTGTGGGCACTCTATTCATCATCTCATCATCAGTCCAATTATTTTCCCTTCATATGATGTACCATTATTTCGATGAATTTGTCATTTAGTGGGATAGAAAAGCAACTTTCACCCATTGTCTTGGATTTCTAAGAGACCTTGAGAGTAGAGGGGAAAAAAAACGACTGAAGCATATCGTTTCTTAAAATTATTTATTCTCTTCAGATCATCCTCAAAAAAAACAAATTTTCAAAGCCATCTTTCAGATTTTTCCATCTCCGATTTCCTCGCATTTCAGTTGTATTTTTTTTTTCACTCTCGAGGCCTCTCAATTGGTTCGAACAAAATTGAAATTCTGCATGGATTTCCCATCTTCTAATTCATTCAATGAAAATTCTCATTCAGCCCAATCGAAGACAAGATTTCCCTCATTCAAATTATGTGCTTCTTTGGTGTACACATTACACAGACAGACAGTAAAAGCAGAAGCGTTGAATTGAAAAGTGTCATCATCAATCATAGTGAATTGACATTTTAATTTGCAGTTTGGCAACCTGTCAACCCTTGCCAAGCAACTCTGTTTCTGAGGAGACTGTCTGACCAACGGTCGGGTCACGTTTAACAAACGTGATTAATAATCATCTTGTAATATCAAAGCGATATAACACATCTGATGATATATACTGGGTAATGTGAAGAAATTCAACAAATACCATAGATAATTTTTTCAAGGAACCACAATTTGTGCTCCGCGCCATTACAACTTGACAAATAATTACATATTCGGGTGGGAACTACCTGCGCCCATTCGAATTCTAGTGAGTTAATTCTAGGGTACAATTATTTTTCGCATTTTTTATGAACTTTTTCTTTTTCGAGAAATGATAAAAGCATATCGGTGCATAGTCAATAATTCTGTAGAGGTGTGGGAGAATCATGAGAGTGTGTTGTTAGTGACTTGGTGCAAATGTAGGTATGAATTTTCAACGAATGTTTATTATATGCCATTTCTATTGTACTGTCATCTTTATTTTTTTATTTGTCATTAATTCTTGCAATTGGGTTGATTCATGGAATTCACGTGATATTCAGTGAATAATATTAGATACGTATTTTTTCATTTCAATAAATCGTAAACAATTGGAACAAGAAGATATGTGATATCATAATGCAGCCGTTTTAAATAGCTTCTCATTTTGTGTACTGTCTAATATTTTTTTATCCAGGAGTGGAAAAAAATATTCATGCCCAATTATGAGGAAGCCCAATTACATTTTTTTCGATAGATTCGACGATTATCATCGGACATATATTATGGTGCCTTATTTCGATGCGCCAGTTTTTACAAAAGTTTGGCGCGATGAAAGTACGCGTTATTTTTCAAAATATCATTTCTCCGTGTTAATATGGTGCTCGTAGAATTTAAGTGAGAGGAAGAAAACAAAGAGATCAAAAAATCTAATGGTGATTTCGTTCTAATAAAATGTCTAGGATGAGTAGATCGGTAATCAAGTGTCTAGGAATCATTTCCAATATGTAATTCATTAGGATATACCGTTGAACTGGCTTTGCCAACAATAAAAAAAAAATTGGACTGGAGTATTCTTGGGGCACAAGACATTGAGAATGAGTGGTACAATATCACGGTGACGGTTATTTAAATATCTGAGAATCGTAAGACTGCCTGTGAGAGAAGTGAAGAATTAAATTCTAATCAATTCGGTCATCGCAGGGAATCAATGCTTAAGATGTTGAGATGGATGGGAAATTATTTCAATGTCATTGTCAGAGTATTGTGTAATTTATTGAAATATTCTTACGATAGACTTGAGAATGAACATTTCATAGTGAAGTGAAATACCAAAATTATTGAGAACCATTAATTTCATATTTTTTTTAATCGTTCTACTTCACTTCATGATGAAATGTAAAAAAAAATGACTGCAAAATTTGTTCTGTTCAACACTTTGTTGACGTCTATTCATTGGTAAAACGCAAAAGAATGATTTAAATGAATTGCCTCCAGGGATTAATTGCAATGAGACCATTTTCAAGCAATTTCGCAGCTCATCAAAGTTGGAAAAAATTGAATGTTGGAAAATAACAAAACACAGGTCTGTAAAGGTTTGCCAATTATAGATACTAGGTAAGATCGATATACGTATATCAAAAGTCGTTGAAAGGTGCAATAGATGTAGTGTAGTGTGTACGGTTTTTATCACCAAAAGAAGCAAAAATAAAATGATAATGTTATAGTAAACACCTTTAATATAAGGAATGAAAGTATTATACTACTCGTTTACATGTCAAAATTATTCATTTGATTTTTGATTAATCATCAGTGATGATTACTCGAGGATATCCTTGAGTGGTGAGATAAGTTGAGTGTGACTATTAACTTACCTCTCGATTTCACTATCAAGTCTGCATGTAGAGTTATTACCCCTTGAGAAACAAACACAAAACTTTAGTGTGAACTGATTGATGTGTTTATGTACTAAAGACTCAACAAGTTGTATGAATAATAAATAAATGCAGGTTTATACAAAAAAATGAGTGAAAGAATTCCTTGAATTTCATTCCACAGTATTTTTTTTCTCTCGATGGGTAAAAAATAAATAGTTTATTTTTTATTTTTCACTAAAAAATTCATTTACTAACTGCAAAAAGTTCTCTACCCCCTTGGTGGCAGGTTTTTTTTTTTGTTTTTATACAATAATCTAAAATTGTATCGTACAAAATAGTTTATCTCTAGAAGAATGCTTAAATTGTCGTATCATCAGAATCAGTTCTTTCGCTGTTAAATGAATTAAATGAATGAGTGGCATCTGGATGAACACTTTACAATCGAAGCACTTCTCAATTCATTACTCGAGACTGTCAAAAAACTATACAATTTTATTATCGAGTTGAATTGCAATGAGGATGCAATTCCATCATTGTCAGTCGCGCGAAGAAATCAACGTTTTCATCATCATGAAAATGAATAATGATGAGAAAAAAGAAACAATTCATAATTTATATACAGTTTCTACTTAAATCTAAATTACCAGTCTCAGAACCGTCGATCAATCGAATGTCAGTGGAATATTTACAATATTGCAATCGACCGGAATGATTTTTTTTTCAACATTGAAAAAACATTTGCGCATGTACACGTTATATTACAAACACTAATGAATCATAAACTAGTGAATCTCAATGTCCAATTTGTCCAATGATTTCAATGAAATTGAGCTTGTTATTCTCGTTGAAATAAATAAAATAAAACTTTCAGTTCTAAATTCTCAATTCATTATCCACAACCGGAATTCTGTTACCCCCTTGTCTCGGGGCTGAGGGTGGTATCAGGGGACTGATGCTAGGACTTCTAGTGGCCAGTGGTGATAGCGATGGTGAAAAACTCGGACTCAATGCAGCAGAGGGAAATGTCGAGGCATCGTGACTAATTGGTGATCTGGGGAGCATAGCCCTGGCAAGTGCAGGTGCTGCTATTGATCTAGGTGCAACTGAAGTCAGTAGTGGAGGTGGTGGAGCCTTATGTACACTCTTTAATCTAGCACTACCATCAGAATTTGTCGAATGAAAACTAGCAGCATCGTCCTTGAGTCTCGCTATTTCACCGAAAACATGAGCTAAAGGTTGATACTGTGGCCCCCAATCAAGGAGATAATCCCAATTATAAGAGCCCGTGAGTTCCTCCTCACTATGTACTATTGAACTCAATGAGCCATTCATCGATGGACCCCCTGGCACCCCAAGCCCCGATGCCGGGCCCCCACTCTCACTTCCAATTTTTCCATAAATTAGAGTAGCTATCTCTGCTTCAGTAACAGCTTCGTCCTCAAATAAATGCAGACTATCAAGAGGCAGAGCTTCTGGTGGACGTCTAGGTGTCCCAGTGGGTGGATCAACAATCCCCAGTCTTGCCAGATACTCTTGTGTATTGTGCACCGATAGATCACTAGCAGAATCAGTTGTTTGTCCCTCATTGATCATTCTAATTTCTTCATCCTCACCATCATCCTCGGCAGAGCCTCGCCCAGAGGATCCACTCTGATCACTCCCAGATATCTCGGACGTGGCGTGCTGTTGTCCCTGTCCGGAAGTCCCATACGGCGGTATTTCATCATATTTAGGTGGTGCAAATTGACAGCCTCCACCTCCACCTGCAGCACTATTGGACACTCCAACATTACTGCCATTTCCAACATTTGCAACACTTCTTATTGGAATTGTATCAAAGGCACTTGGATCCACGTAACTGTTGGAACTCGTCGCATTACTCTCTCCATTCAGGCCGGGCTTTGTATTATTTTTCAATTTTTTACTTCTGAAGTGGAGAAATAGAAATATCGCTCCAAAAGTGGCTATCAATAAAACTAGAGCAATGAGAAGTCCCAGGGCCCAGTCTGCAAGTCCTGATGACGTCGCCATTGCCATGTTAGTTCCAAGATTACTGGGTGTTGCAAGAGAATTTCCCCCATTATATACACTATTTTCATCATCATTATTATCAACAAATCGAATTTCTACAACAGTCATATTGGATAAAGAGCCTTGTCTTCCAGAACTTGCAGACACCACTAATCTCGAGGATTCCTCTATGGCATCAAAGTGAAATTTTTTCTTCAGAATAAGAGTCCCCGTTGTTCTATTGATCTTGAAATAAGGATGCTGGGAGGTCAATTGATAGACAACTCTACCGTCAGGACCTTTGTCTCTATCTGTAGCCGTCACATGGCCAATTATACTGCCAGCTTGTGTCTGACTATTTCTGAGAGTGAATTTGTACATTCGTTCTGTGAACTGAGGGTAAAATTCATCTCTTGAGTCTATTTCAATTCGAACTCGAACCTCAGCTGTTCTACCTCCAGTATCTGTGGCTTTTAGGGTGAATGCGTAACGATTTCTCTGCTCGTAATCGAATATTGAACGCGTCGTGACGGAACCGGTGGTGGCCTCGACACTGAAGAGCTTCCAGCTGTCGTCTATCTCGGAGAAGCCTGAGGCTGCTGCTGAAACGATTGAGTAGTTCACACTGCCGAATATACCTCTGTCCAGATCTGAAGCCATTGCTGAGAAGACGCGAGTACCAATTGATTCATTTTCACCCACGAATTCAAGATATTCTGACACTGCAAATTTCGGAGAATTATCATTTACATCTTCCAGATTGATTCTGACTTTTGCCAAAGCACAGAGAGGATTGACATCAGTGTCACATGCGAGCACAATCAGACTGTACGTTTCTGGGGAAAGATCACAGTCGAGAGTAGAATTGACGAAGATAGTGCCTGTCGTGCTGTTCACGGTGAAGAGACCGACATCATTTCCAGAAGTGATTGAGTAGATAATAATTGATGCTGGTGTGTTGATTAAATCATTGTCAGTGGCAGAGACACTTAAGAGACTCGTCCCAGGGGGTGAGTCTTCTGGGATAGAGACTTCACGAGTCTTTTCAGCGAAAACGGGGTAATTATCGTTGACATCGTGGATCTCAATGGTTATTAATATCAAATCGGAGCTGGGTAGACTTTCGGAAGTGCTGTTTGATGTTTTCGAGCTCAATTGCAGAATATATTTGTCTTTAGTCTCTCGATCAAGATTCTTGATGAGTGTTAAATCTCCTCTGGACACCTCGAAAGTTCCATCATCCCCGGAGACAATAATTCCATCGAGTAATCCTATATCTGTCAATTTGAGGATTGTCGTTCCTCTCGTGGCATTCTCACTGATATTCAATTGGAATTCCTTGTTGGAGGAGCAACTCCTCAGTCCACTCAATCTAAGTATCACTAAACAATTGGATGACAAGGGTGGTTTGCCAGAATCTTTTGCTACTATCGTCAGCTCAATTTCTTTAGGCAGTGGTCGACTCAGTGCTGATTTATTAGCAGTCACTGCTCCTGTCTCCGGATGAACTGAAAATCCCTCTACAGGGCGGAGTAAATAGTAACGAATCATCCTGTTGACTTCCAGGAAATCGTCGTCTGTTGCGTTGACCACAGCAATTTCTTCGAGATTATCTGGTCCCTCTGATAATGTTGTGACGTAGGCAGCTTGCTGGAATGTTGGGGCATTGTCATTGACATCTGTGAGCCTGACAACTAGCTCGGTGGTGGCCTCGTGAATTTCATCGCTGGCAATAACTTGAAGGCTATATTCGTAATGCTCCTCGGCGTCGAGAGCTTCTCTTAGGATCACTTTACCACTGTATCGGTCGATACTGAAGGGAATTGGCTCGTTGATTTTTCCAAACCGATAGGTCAAAGCGGGTGAGCTGTCTACATCGTTGGCGGTCATGGTAGTCAATACTGCTCCGACCGATGTATCTAGAAGGAGAAATACAAACAGAGAAGTTGAAGATTTCATTTCCATCTTTTATTCATTTGATTTTTTTTCTTTTTTGTTGCGTACTAACATTCAGGGTGGCCGTTCAATCTTAATTTCATTATAATAGCGTGTGAAATTTCATATTATCCCCTTCAAGTAGAAAGTGTGTTACTAACGGAATAGGCCTCACACTGTATACATTTTATGCGACAAGAGTAGTTAGTAAAGCGATGGGATCTCCATTGATGGGTTACCTACAACTTTCATTGTTTTTGTTTTTTGGTTTCTCTTTCAAACTGAGACACACTTATGCTCGTACTTAAAATGCATTGGATACTGCCTATCAAGGCAATTCATCTACCTGAGTGGAAAGGAACGACGTATGTTCCTCAAGTCTCTCGTCAGAACGGAAAGAAAATAAAACAAATAAATGGATAAGAGAGTAAAAAATGTTATGAAAAGTAAAAAGAGAGGCATCGAATCGAAAAATGAAGAAAAAACAAAACAGGAGGAAAGTAATTTCTTTTTCGATCTTCTCTGCCCTCTCTCACTTTCCTTTCTCTTTTTTTTCGCTCATGTTCTCATTTCGAATGATCGCGTGTATGGAATCGGTGCGAATTATCGAGAAGAGAAAATGGAATGAAACAACTAGGATGAGAGAATGAGGGGAGAAAAAAAATCAAATTTCACTCATAATTATTGATATGAGATACTTTAATGTATCGATTGGAGAGTGGATTGAGTAGGTGTCCCTGTGATGCAGTGATACGTACTGCAGAGTGACCTAAGCAAGTGTGAAAAGAGAGTGCTTAACGATCTGTCATAAATTCCCCCGGTTGACCATTAAAGTCATGTAAATCGGTTTTCGACTGGTGCTGTTCACCTTTGAAGAGCCAACTCACTCCGGCCAGGGAGTACGTGAGAATGTATTTTAAAGCGTCCAGAGAGCAACATGAGTTTTTAATTTCGGTAGTTACTTTAATGGCCCATTGGTGAAAATTAATTTCAATTAATCTCAGATAGAAAAATATTGTCCAAATGTTAATTTACCATTAATTTTCCACCATATGATTTCAGGTAAATTGGTATCTACCAATTTAATCCTTTTACGGAAATGCAGTGCAGTGTGCACGCGATTAAAATCCTCTATACCGCAAAGTCTGAATATAAACTCTTCTTCTTCGTCTTGTTCTTCTTCTCATCCACATTTGGAAAGAGAGTTCCGCGATGGAAACGAGTTCAAGAAACCATTAAAACGCAGGCGGGGCTGAAGGATATCCTCCCCATCGGTAATTCTCCCGGGGTAATTAAAATCTTCGATTCCACTCGAGTAATTAAAATCAATTATCGGTCAAGCGGTTACCATTCACGCGGGTCAAATATGCCCGCTACACGATATTCTTTGATATTATTTTATTAATGAAAATAACAGTAGAAAAAGCCCTCCTCCTTCTGAGGTGAAATTATGTTGTCCGATTTTGAGTTAAAATTTGCAAGCAAAGAAATAGCCAAGCTATCATAGATCAGGAGCGTCTATCCGCCCACGTTGCCAAGAGAAGAGGTCTTAACGAAACAAGCAACGGTGGAGAAATGAACGTCAAAACAAAAAGTAAACGACAAAGTCAGGCAAGTTGTGCTGCAAGTATAAAGTTAAGTGGTAAAGAATTTATGCCGACATTAAAGTCCAACTGTTCCGAACAATCTGCATAACTTAGGGAGAGATAGGAGGCTGCGAGTGGGCCCCACCTCGTCTCCTGTAGCCATATTGTTCCTCAATTCTTTCTATTCTTTTTAACCCACTGGAGCATTGACAGGATACGATTCAATGAAGAATACAGCGCTGTCCTCCTCCCGTGCACTTATTCATTTTGTTTGAATTTTGACAGACAGCTCCTGGGTAACACGTCATCGCATCCATCTCATTGTTAGTGAAAATTAAGGGATAGTAATCTTTAGATGAGTTTCGACTCGAAAGCTAAATGTTAGTTTTGTTATTTGTCGTTTATGTTTTCTTATGTGAGAAAAATGTTTCATCTTATGGGAAATATCAAACTCTACCCACCAGAGTAATATCTCGAATGCAACTTAGATAATTTGCTTGGGCATCCGTGACGAATGTATAACTATCCCAGAGCAATCCTCAACTTCCGTTAATTCATGACATGTGATATGCCCCCTTAATTCATTCCACGACTCAATCGTGGGTATTAAAAATGTAATTACGATAACACAACGGTACTTTGACATACAAATAAATGATCCACGCAAATTGTTGATATTTTTAAAGATAATCAAACTGTTTTACGTGATATAATATAGTATCAGATGATGCGTGCGGAATCGGCTTCATGCATAGCCAAGTTACAAGATTGCTCACCTTCTGGAATGGATATAACATTGTGTCCCGGAAAGGTGGGCTGATTGTCATTGACATCAATTACTCGGATGCTCAGGGCGGTCGTCCCGGTGAGTTGAGGATTTCCTTGATCAGTTGCGATGATTGTCAACCTGTACTTTTCTCGAATTTCGCGGTCTAGAACGATATTCGTGCGCACCACTCCACTGTAAGGTGGACTGATGACGAATGCATTGTCAGGATTACCGTCGACTATGTGGTACAGAATTTTACTATTGATGCCTTGGTCAGCATCAATCGCCGAAAGCTGAAATCGATGACATAATAATGCTTAGAATTTCACAGAGAAGAAAAGTTGCTATTCTTTAGTAAAGATTCTGTCCCATTGAAATCTGGCACGTAAACAATCCTAGAAATAATTCCCCTACCTTAACGACAAAATTTCCCTTGGCATTTCCTTCGAGTACAGTCGCCGAGTATTGACTCTGGGTAAAAATGGGTGGATTATCGTTGACATCAGAAATCCTGATGACGAGCCTCGCATAAGCCTCCAAGGGATCTGGGCCAGTTGTCTTCGCAACCAATGTTAAAATTCTACTTGAACTCTCTCGGGGTATCTCTTTGGAAACATGATTATCCGAATTGCGATCCCAATGGTTGTGGTACTCGTCAAAATTCATTGACAACTCGGCATCGAGTCTCGATGGATCATTAACTTTTACAGTACCACTCTCCTCATCGATGATGAACGTGTCGTACTCATTGCCAGTGCCTATTGAATAAGACATGTGTTGTCGACGTCCATCGGACCTCACAGCTGTCACTCGAATGATCTCTGTGTTGAAGGGTGAATTTTCCGGAATGACAGCCTCGTAGGTGTCATTTTGGAACATGAGGATTGGATTAAGATCCTCATTATCCCCGACTTTCAGTTCAATCAGTGCTGTGGAACTTTTGGGAGGGTTCCCACGGTCTCTGGCAATTACCGCGAGGTGAAAAGTCCTACCAAACTCTTGTACAAGGGTTGTGGTGGCTGTTATCACACCAGTGGTCGGATGGATTCGAAATTTTGGCTTGTCGTCTTCGTGGGAAAAAGAATAAATTATTTCCCCATTGATACCAACATCGCTATCTTTAGCTTTTACTTGAAGAATATTGTGACCAGGTTGAGTAGATGTTGGCACTATTGCTCTGAATGGATTCATTTCGAAAACTGGTGGATTATCATTTACGTCACTCAGATTTATTTCAACGGGTATTGAAGTACTCTTTGCGTCGTATAGACCACCATCGGTCGCAACTACTAGGAAATTATAGGTTGCCTGGCGCTCACGGTCCAGTTGCCTAAACAGATATTTATACAAATCACACTCAACAGTGACATGTTGGGAAAAAAATGTCTTCGCGATATGATGGGCAGGAGAATATTATTAATTGCCATATGACACAGTTAACAATGAGCTCCCGTTGTGTGTAGAGGTGAAAAGAGGAAAATAAAAGTTTGAATGGTCAAATAAGAGACTAAAAAAAAACAACGTGTCTTGGTTTTGCATATCAGTCTTTTTGCCGGCTTACAAAATAATGCATTGAAATGCCATGTGGAGCCTTGGGATAAAATGACACACGGCTGTTGTATGAAAAAATCGCCCATGTTTGTAATACCAACCCCAATGTGAAAGAGGAAGAGGAGAATTCTCCATATTTATTTCCTAACATTTCACCTTGAACACTAACGCGCTTGTATTTCTGTGAGAAGCCTAGAACTACACGAAGGGAAACAGGACTGTAGTTCTCTCATGATGCGGATAAATGTCGATGGACAATAATAACAATAAAAAAATCAAATGTGGAGGTTTATTCATCACTTTGGTTTTTTGAAAATGTTAGTTTCAATACTCGGCAGTTTCTCAACGACTTTTTAGCCCGAAAATGACTGGATTTCTCTGAATCATCAGTTGATGTTTTCTCTTAATATTCCATTCTGACATTAATTCCATCCATTTATTTGAAATTCTCCTCAACTATATAAAGGAGAAATCTCTCAGCTCCATTCCAACATTGGAATTCGTGATAACGGAAATTTCATGCCAATGTTAAGATAAAGGAGAGAATGTTTTGAAATTTATTGGAAGGGGGAATGGTTATGAGATCGACCTTCGAATCCGGTTGACATTCAGAGATTGCTGAGGGAAAAACGAATATATAAAAAGTTTTATAGTTTACCGAGGAGACTAACACAAAGTCGGGGTTTGTCATTAAGATTTCAGCCTTTATACGTCTGAAGGAGTCATTTCAAATCTGCAACTACCAAACTCGTGGGCTTTTTATTGTTTCACTATCTCAATACTTGGGATGGCTCTCGTACTTGGATTTTTAATTATCATCACTTTATTGATAAAAGTGATAATGATAATAATAATAATAATAATAATAATATACTCATTCACATTTGGTTGGGGATCGATGAACTTATACATTCATTATTTATAGTTCAAAATTTTATCATACCAACACTTGAGATTTAATATGAACGGAAGAAAAAATGAATGAAAGATACGTAAACCAATGAAAATGTCCTCTTCGCTATGGATTATGCATACCGTCTAATCTTATATCGCTTCTACAGGAGAGGCGACTTAATAATTTTACGGCGGCTCATCTTTATATGTCTCTTTTTCACGTGTGTATACACTTATTGCGAATGGGTGGGTTTAAAATTTTCTCTCAACATTTCGTTTTTTTTCTTCTCCTTCTTCTTCTTCTCTGTTCCCTTTCTATTTTACGACGCTTCAGATCTCTTCTCAATACCAACGTGCTTTAATGCGTTGGGGAAGATCTCAAGAAAGTGCAATATCCTTGATACTAATCGGGTAATAAAGATTTTTGTGCAACTATTGATGGGATAAAAATTGATGCATATGCACGAATGTTAATTATTCAATAAACATTAATGAATTAAATGCATACCGAGTGAGAATAGGAGGGCATAATGTGAGGCTTTGAAAATAAAATAAGGTGAATTGTCTTTCTTACCCAGCGGTAGTAATGACACCAGTGAGGTTGTCAACCCTGAAGAGCCACGTAGTCTCCTCAGAAATGGTATACGTTATTTTCCCATTAAATCCCTGATCCGGATCGGTGGCTCGCACTGTCATCACTGAAGAGTCGGGGGGCACATCCTCGGAAATTGTTGAGGTGTATTTACCGGAATAATTAGGATAGTACTGGTGAAACGATTGAGTGAAACTCGGATATTCTGAGGATTTTGTCAGCCGAAGGGTGTCACGGTGGTTTGGTGCGAACGTCGGAGCATTATCATTGACATCTAAAACGATTATAGACATATTGCAGTGGGCCTCCAGGCTCGGATGGCCTTTGTCTCTGGCAGATATGGTTAGGACATATCTGGGGACAGTTTCACAGTCCAAACTAGTCGCCGATAGGTCCCCAGTGGTAGGGTCAAGTCTAAATTTTCCTCCGTCATTACCACCTGAGAAACAATTGCGCTTGTGAAAAATCGTATCGTACAACCTTGTGTTGTTAAAATATTTACCTATTATGCTATAAGTTATCTCTCCATTCTTGCCATTATCGAGATCAACAGCTGCAATGGTATGTATTATCGATATTTCTTGATTCTCAGGTACAGCTAGCGTGTAACAAGCTCCAGAACGAAATTCCGGGGCATTATCATTCTCATCTTCCACGACAATTTTCAACGTTGTTAAATCGAGTAATTTATTGGATTTTGCCAGAATTGGTACATGATAATATTCTGTATTTTCACGATCAAGTGCCTGAGCAAGTGTCACCAATCCACTCGGGGATATTGAAAATTTGTTGGCACCAACACCATCGGGAATGTGAAAGCTTACATTAGCTGCAAAAAGAAATACCAAGGGGAAAAGATAAATATTCATCACATTTACAGGGGATGATCCTAATTTATAATCAAGGTATGACAATCGGAATAAATAATTTGCAGGGGAAAAAAAATCATCAAAAATCAGAAGAAAAAAAATTGAAACGGAGGAAAAAAAAATTGTTGAGTGTATTTTGTGCGACGAAAGACTGGTCATAAATTACAATAATTCCGACTGGTAACGTCGTAGCCGAAATCCGATCTTAGTGGACCGGCACATGTGAATGTCGTCGCAAATGGCAACATTGTAGAATATAATCCACCTCTTTGCTCGCTCAGAGTGTTCCAACCGTTTTTTTCTCAAGAAAAAAAAGACATAACAATATGTGTATATATATCTAAAGGGACCCATAGTCACAGTCAGGTCATCCGTGTGGGCTGCATGTATTTTGTTGAAACGAGCAATGTGTGAACTTTTGACATACCGGAACACGAGAAATCAATTTATAATCGCAACAATGTGGAAAATTGTAGACAAATAACTAGGGAGTTTATCGGTAATGGAAAAATGAACAATAGGGTAGTGTGGATTTATTTATTTATTTATTTATTTATTTTCTCTCACTCAACTAAACTCTAGCATTTTAATGTATTCCATTCTCAAATTCCACAGTACGTCGTTGAGCCTGTCGTTGATTTTTAAGCGGTTTTAGACAAAGCTCATGCCGACTCCAGTGCAGCAGAGAAAAGGACTCTACCCCTCTTTGGTTTTATGTAGAAAAAGCAAAGAGGGGAATGGGACATGCTCATGCACCTTGGGTGATTTGCCTATGCGTAGCGCGGCAGAGACTAAACCCCTCTCGCATGATGATATACGCGGCCATTGTTTTTCCTCCACCACCTCCATCCACATTTCTATTTATTCTTTTACTTTATTTATTTTATATATGGCTTTCAACATCCTGTGTTTCTCAAATAACCCTTCCCGGATACTCGACTTTGTGCCCTTGATACCAAGTCCGACCTTCTTGAATCGATAACATCGAAATTCGATCGAATAGTATTGTGGGAAAATTTGCATTTAAATAGTATATACAAGGCTGTGGTACTTGCTGAGGAGGCGTAAAATACCATTATTTTGTGAGTATTTCTCTACATAGTGGGATGAATTTGCGCCAAAATGTTAACAACATATTATCAACTTTCATCATCAAGTCTTGACTTGTTAAAATATAGCAAATAAAAGAGACGATGGATTGATAAACAATGACAACTTACCATGATCGCCAAATGCTGGTCCCGCAACGTTGAGAATAGCTCCACCAACGGGGAGATGTTCGGAAACTCGTACAATTGGATTTTGCCGCAGTAGACGTGGTGGTCCATTGCTTTGACCGATTGCCATTGATATTGTTAAATTGAGAATAGCACGACGAGGTGGAGAGCCATGATCATTGGCTGTTATTTGAAGGATTGTGTCGTTGACGAGCGAACGAACAAGTGTCACTAATCCAGATTCATATCCAACAGCGAAGCTTGATTCTTCATTGCCCGATGTAATGACGTACGAGACACGCGCATTATTATCTGCATCTCTGTCAACCGCTATCACTCTTACGATATTGGCTCCCGGCAGGAGATCTGGCGTAACTGAAATTCTTGTGCTATTGGGGGCGATGAAAATGGGATCATTATCGTTTTGATCCAATACTGCCACCTTGGCTGTGACAGTGGTGGCGAGTCTCTCGGCAACAGGTGCCCCATCAGTTGCCCTCAATAGCAGCGTGTACTCACTTCGCTCTTCTCGGTCTAATGTTTTCATAATAGTGAGTGCACCAGTGAGTGAATCTACCGAAAATATATCACTAGCTGGAAACTCAGACACAAGATCATAGCGCAGATCTCCGTTGGCACCGGCATCGACATCGGTAGCAGTCAAATTATAAATGGTCATTCCAATGGAACAGCCCTCTGAAACTCTGATGACGATGGGATCTTGTGGCCATTTTGGTGAATTATCATTGGCGTCGTCTATGAAAATTTTAACAGAAACTGCAATACTCTGGGGATTTCCAATGGACGTTGTGTCAAGAGCCCTGATCTCTAAATTATATTCACTGACATTCTCCCTGTCCAGCGAATGAGCCACGACAATCTGACCTGAGGATCTATCAACATCAAAGGCAGGATGTTGAGTCAGAGGTGTTAGTGATGTGAGTGTATAGGCGACCCTTCCTGCAGGCCCTGCTCCCGAGACAGAGCCCACCGCCTGGCCAATGCTGGCATCCTCTCTGACATGAAAAGTTAAACTGCTACTTGTGAATGTGGGCCTGTTGTCAGCTAAAGCGAGCACTTCCACTCTAAGAATTCGAATGCTATGTCTCGATGGCCTGCCTGCATCACTCGCTTTAATCGATACCCTGTAGACATCTCTCTCCTCATGATCAAGAACATATTTTGTCCTAATCATGCCTGTTATTGGATCTATTGTGAAGACATTGTAGCCATCTGAGTCTCGGTCTTTTAAAATACTGTATGTGATGGTGGCATTTTCGCCAAGATCGGCATCTAACGCTCGGACTCGAGCTACTTCTGTACCTACGGGCTGCTCCTCGCGGACGCTCACAATGTCCCCTTGGGGATCTACAATTTCAGGTGAATTATCGTTAACATCGAGAATTGATACTCGCAGAGGGACTCTAGCCGCTTTTGAAGGGCTCCCATGGTCTCTGGCTTCAAGGACTAGTTCGTGAAGACTCCTCAACTCACGATCGAGTGGTTCTCTCGTTATTATCTCACCTGGAGGGAAAAAAAAAAACAAAATGGCTCTACAGATTTTTCCGTGATTTCACCATTTCTCTTCGAATACCTAAAATAATCATCAATTCTCTCCGACACTCTTGTCTTCTCCCTGTGTCAATATCCAGTCTCCGAATTTTCGGTAAAATGTCATTTATGTTTATAAATGTGAAGAGAACCAATGTTGTCCCATAATACAGGGAGAGGAGAGAATAAAAAATACACTCGAAGAAGGGTAGTAGGACGAGCGCTAATGCACTTTTCGTGTAGTCGGGTTTTACTATAGTCTTTAAAAAGTTCCTTCTCTCATTCCTTCTCAATATTTGAACATGTCTCGGTATTCGCCGGAGAATAAAACTCTCTACTGGCTAACTTTTTGTAAAACAATAAGCACGAAGAAGTTGATAAAGACAGAGAAATTGGGTAGTTTACCCTTGAGTCGTTAAATTATGACTATAAATTTGATTGACATTGCATCTTTAATTTATTTTTCTTATCCTTCCGTCATATCTCGTGCTGTAATCTACCCTCATTCACAAACTTTCCGACTGCTCATCAATCCCAGCAGCAGATTGTCTCAACCAATCCCAGCGACACCAAGTGCATAATTCTTCACTACTATTCAATTAAATTCTCAATGAGATGTAAACAAAGTGGCAACAGTGATAATAAAGGGAAGATTCCCATCGAGTATCAATCAATCAATGATTCAATTGTCAATTATTTGAAAAGTATTACTTTCGAGCATAGGATAATAAAAAAGAAGCGTAACAATAGATCATAATGTATACATGAGTATATGAGATTGACGCAATAGGGTAGAGCAAAAGCGTAAATTATATACGTGTCTCAAAGCCTTTAGATAGAGGCTAGTGGCTATTTAGAAAATTAATAGTCTTATATACCCATCTCTACGGCACCTCCGTAGCACCCAATGCCGAGAGGGTCCTTGATCAATCTATCTTTCTTCCTCGACCTCTCGCGTGAATTCCCCTCGCCGCTACCTTCCCCTCCGCCTTCTTCTCCTTCTTCCTACCTTTCTTTGAAATATACGCAACACACATACACACAAGAGTTTCAAAACGAATTCCGATCGCGTCGTTAAACCCGTCCGCAAGAGGGTGGTGATCCCATGCAGGAGGCAACGAGAAGAAATAAAAAAAAAAAAAAAAAAAAAAAAAAAGGAGAGGAATGAAAGAAGAGTGAAACTTGTGAGGATGAGGTTTTGAGTTGAGGCACCCCACCTCAGTAGAATATAATGGGTATATCGGATTATCATCCGGCTGCGACGAATTGCTCGTGAGATTACTTCCGCGCGGGCAAAGTATGCGCGTGTGAGTGGTGATACAGTAATCGTTATTAAAATAAACTTTCATAACCACCAGTTGAATTTGATGGACGTAGGAGGAATTTTGTAAATAACGTACTGAAATGTACTCAATTAAAATCCAATACATAATATTGGAAGAAATCATGAACGAAAAGAAATAAATCAAATATTTGTAATAATATTTTAAGCAATGGCAAAAGTTTTGAAAAGAAGAGACAACTCACCAGTGTCAGGATCGATGGCAAAGCTGCTGTTATGCTGAACGACTGTGTATCTCAGTAGGGAATTCTTTCCAAGATCAGGATCAGAAGCAGTGACAGTACCAACTAATGTACCGGATGGTAGATTCTCAAGGAGTTCGAATGAATAGAAATCCTTGGCGAAACGTGGACTGTTGTCATTGTCATCCAGTACTGTTACTAAAACTGATGAAGTTGCTGTTGCTGCTGGACTACCATTGTCAGTAGCGAGTACTGTCAGTGCGTAACGATCTGTTGTTTCACGGTCTAGGGTTTGAGTGAGGTATATCCATCCTGTGTTTGGACTGATGCGAAATGACAGGGAGCCTTGAAGACGATAACTAATCCTCGCATTATTGCCAGTATCTAAATCTAATGCTGTCACTTGCAAAACCTTTGAAAACAATAATGGCAAATGATGAATTGAGAATAGTTGTCTAATTTTTAATATTAATATAATATACTGAGAAGCAGTTAAAGTGCAAAGGTCGAATAAGGACGGGTTTCCTGCTTGTCCCGGATGAAATTACGCATCCAAGGCTCGTCTAGAGTAGTTGAAAGATATATGGGAAAGAACGAAAAGGGTAAAAGAAACGGTTAAAATGCTCGATCTATGGGTATAAGGCCCCTGTTAACTACACACTATTCTATCTTCGTTTAATGTTCAAGTCCCAAGTGTATACTCTTCTTATATACGCCTCTTTCACCCTGCCTCTATTCATTTACTTTTATTATGGCGTTACTTGGTTCGTTTGAACGGATGACAAAAAACGAAAAAAAAAAGAAAAAAAAGAACTGGTTTTTTAAAAATTCATCCTGAGAGAAAATAAAAGTACTGGATGCACTGGGGATAGATATCGCGGGGTTTCTCTCAATAAACAAATGCGAGCATGATGGGCGTGTAATGAAGATTTTTCTCACCTGTGAATCGAGTTTGGCGCCTTCAGGAATCTCAACGTGATACTCGTTTCTTTCGAACACCGGGGGGTTGTCATTCACGTCTTGCACCTCAACACTGAGACTAAGATTCGCTGAAAGACCACCACCGTCTAATGCACTTATCAGCAAAGTATGGCGCTGTTGCGTCTCATAGTCCAATCGGCGTATTAGATATAATTCACCGCTATGGGCATCGATACCAAATAGCTCATTACTGTTTTGGCTCAGTATATAGCGAATTGGAGTTGAAGGAATCACATCTGGATCATTGGCATGAGCAACATATAGGGCTGTGTGTAGCGGGTGGGATTCGGCTACTGATATCCGAACACTGGCTGTGGCAAATGATGGAGGATTGTCGTTCACATCTTCAATGTTCAATTCCACCTGTCAGTCGAGCAATTAAATTTATATAATATGATATTTGTAGACTTGGAAAATTACACTTAAACCAAAGATGAGGACGATAATGATGACGCAATTTTCATTACAATTTAAAAATACATATACATGATTTTACCTGACAATAACCGATGCCAACGTCATTCCGCAATCCTACACTCAGGATATATTTATCCTGTACTTCTCTGTCGAATGATATTCTCGTACGAAGTACTCCAGAATTTGGATCGATTGAGAATTCATGAGCACCCGTTGCCAAGAAAAATTTACTCCCTCGTGAACCTTTAAATATAATAAAGAATAATAATTATCAATACATGTTGTATTCAGCTGGAGAAAATATAAATACGTATATGCATAAATATTAAATAAAAACTCATTCATTCTGTTGCCTCTAGAGACAGTAAGATTGATGAGCATCTTGCATCAAAGCTTCATTCTACTAATTGCTGATCGATCCCAAAAGCCAATTTGTAGATTCAATCCCTACTTTGTAAAATTGTCCCTCATTGGTGATTTCATCCGGGACCAGTTCGTCCTCTAAATCACAAATTTCACAATTTTTTCCTTTATTATTACCAAAACGGTAGCAGAACCGATTACTCTCTTCTTGAGTGAATAACCGAAAACGGGTGTGTCTCACAAAATAAAGAAATAAGAAGGAAAAAAAAAAAAAGAAGAAAAATAAACGAAAAATTTTTCGAGGCCTCCGAGTCTTACCTGGGATACACGTTCTTGGGAGTCAACACCGAGTTATGTTAATTGAGCTTGGAATATTCATGGATGGGGTCGGGAGTAACTTGCGATGGGGATTGGGAAAAAATTTCACTGCTTAATCGTTGCAGACCTTAGTCTACCAAAAAACATAGGAAAAAAAGAATAAAGTTAAATAAATAAAAGGGAGGGTAAAAAAAAGTAATGCGTGGTGGCTTATGAAGTTGTACACCTTGAGTAGGTGTACCTCAAGGGTAACTTGAGAATCAACGAAAAATAAATCTAAAAAAAACGAAAAACATTTTGCGGATACATCCATCATAATCACATGAATCATAAAAGTCACATTTCCATTTATTTGCAAGGATAATAATGAGTACTTAACATATCCACACTTGGAGATGGATTTGTTAGAAGCTCAATGGCCCTTATTTAGTACTCTTGCTCTCAATATGAGTTGAACGCGTTGAGAATTCTATTTTCATTAATTAATGGAGTAATAATAGCTTTATCATTTTGTTTTTGTTTTTTTTTTTTCGATTTTTTGCAATAATTGTTAATTCTATTCGGCGGCAAAATGCTCATCGTGTTACTTTGGACAACGAGTTCGTACCTTCTCCTGTCCGCCCACGTATCGTGTACACGTTAGAGAAGCGTAAAAAACCTGTAGAAGCCAAGTGAATTCCAGCACACAAGCCCCGAAATATAAAACATAAGTGATGTTTACGTGATTTATAGAGTGAGAGGATGCGGCACTATTATACTTGATGAGTCTCGATCATTTCACGTGAAATCAATTATCACAGACATTTCCATATTATTTCCATCAGTTGTATCCTATTGAACATGTGTTTTCTCATGATTTCTTATGTATAATATCATTGAACGGCAAATTTTTCATGCGTTTCCATCGCTGTGTCGAGTCATGGCTGTAACCATGCGGCAAACGGTGTGTGAGATTCATATCAATCATCATTGATGTATGTATGTGCATGTCACTATACTATTCATCAAATTGAGTAATTTTCAATTGGAAATGCGGAAAATTAGTGGATTAACAGTGGAATATGGTCTAATGGATTGAAGAATTGTTTACCAAATATCAAGGATATCCAATCTCCGTGAAATTTGCATCGCGTCGGCACTTTGGCCACGATTCATTACCTCTTGGGGTTTCTCCAGTGAGTATTTATCGGCCAAATAAATTACAATTGCGCGACCCATGCGTTCTTGCCGTCTTTCTGCATCGTCTCGTGTATGAAACGGCTGGTTGAGTATATATAAGACACAACGGATGGAGAAGAAAAAACAGACGAGCATAAGGAGAAAAAAGATGGCTAGTTATTGAGCATGAGGAATAAATGAGAGAGACAGAGAGAAATGATAACTCCCCCCCGGGGTGCCATGTGGGTGTAACGAAGACAAATCGCTTGCAAATTTCGATGATTCGAAAAATTGTCCTTTCATATCTACTGAGCAAGTCATTTTTTATCATCGTCAGATGATTTTACAGACTGAAGATAAATAAATGAGTACAAGTCACATTGATACACATTGATAGAGTCTGAGAGGAAGTGTTAAGTAGTCGGTGCGCTAATTCAGTCGTATACTGATATTGATATCCGATAAGAAGGATTGAACTGCATGGCACGTTGATATAGCCATAAAGTTGGGGCGCACTTGAAGGGTTACAGAGCAATATAGCAGAGAGAGCAAACGAGGGATGGGGGTTACGAGACGAAGGCGAGGACGTATATAAGAGGAACGGGATAGGACCCCCGTAGGCGACAGCGTGCCTTTATCCGATGTATCGCTTCTTCACCGCATTCATTGCGTCGTTCACTGTTTTAACTTGCCATTCTAAAAATTCCCTTCATACCTCTCTACGTTCATATATTTTTCTCTCCTCATCGTTGTTCCAACCTTCAGTCTATCATCATTATTTAATTATGAGCATTGATTATTTCGTTGTGCCATTCCTCATTGACACTTTACAGTCTCTTCATACTTCAGAGAGAGAGAGAGAGAGAGAGAGAAAGAGAGATGTAAAATTTTCTTATTATATACTTGGGGAAATGTTGATGTTGAGAGCGAATTAAATATAAGATGAAATATTTCAGATAGGAAATGTATGGAGGAGAAAAAAAATAGTGGAATGATGGCAATAGAACTGATGATAGGATCGATAAGAAAAGCCAGGGACCATAAAAGATAAGAGGGTTGGAGCTGGCATCAGCCTGGTACTATTACACCTGGTTTTGCACGCGTTCCTCACAGCATCGCCCGCTGTACTCTGTATTCACATATATATTCTCAGAAGGGGGTATTATTGTAACGCTCAACCGCTGGAGTGTATACAGGGCTGTCATGACAGCATCTTTTATAGTAATGCGAATCATTGTAATATGGCTGAGAAGTTGAGACCCTTTTGAGGATTTTATTCTCCATTTTTCTGTATTTTTGTAGCTTTCAAAATTACTACTTTCCTCCTTCTGTGGGCAATAATTACACGAAAAACCATGAGAACAGATCAATCACTGTTTAGTATTTTATAATTTCTCGAGGATGGTTTGGTCCGTTTTTTTTTGCCATCTGGGGAATTATGTAATTCGAATGCAGGGGTACGATGTATCCTTTAAATTGCCATGAAAGAGGAGTAAAATGCATTGACCCCGAGTTGATTTAACTCTATCGTTTTTTTTTTTTCATTTCCCGTGGCATTCTTAAATTGGAGAAAACGGGAGAAAAATCACACAAGTGAAAGGAGAAGGGACTGGTGTGTATGATAATACCAGGTGGCTCCCCACGATGTGGTTCGTTCTCGTGGCACCCCTCTACATCATTTTCGACGGCTGCTGTTTATTGCCGGATGCAAATCCCGACTCGCGCGCGACCTCATGCCACCGTTCCCAGTGAGAGAATAATTTTTCCTTGACTTTTTTTTTTCTCTCGTTTTTCTTTTCCGTCGAGAAGTATGTGATCGGTGCATAAAGATAAATCAATTTAGTGGTTGCAGGCATTCACTTTGCCTAGAGAATTACTATTTCCAGAGTTATCAATTCTCAAAATATCTGTTGACATTTTATCAATTCTAAAAATTCCGACTGGGCCTCTCTCTCCATTATAATGTTTGAAAAAAGTTTCAATTGTGTTTTGAATATATGTTCCGACAAGACAATATCCCGAAAAAATACAAGAAAAAAATATCTCATTCTATTCCAGACCAGCAGGTGAGTGAAATGACAGTTGAAAAAGAAAGTCTTTTTTTTCTCTCTTCCTGGTCGGAAAAAAATGGAAATAAGAATAAATGCGATAAAGGTACAAATGAAACAAAAAGATAAAGAGAGAGTGAGGGAGGAAGGGAGGGAGGGAGGGAGGAGAAAAAAATATGGAGAGGGGGAGGGGGCGAATTTCTTGGAATGGAGTTACGCAAATTAGACTGGGGTTTGAGCGAGGCGCACGCGGGCTCTGTGGGCCCTATCGCACAGTGATCTGCCGGTACGAAAGAGAGAAAAAAAAGATGAGTGAACGAAAGAGAGAGGGATTTTAGATTTGCTTCGAATGCATCCTCTCCTTTATATATGAAATGGCCTCTACTTGTACGCTGCGCGTTGACTGTGTCGGACCGCAAGTGGAGTCCCAAAGAAATTTGCAAGTCCCGGTGAAAGCACCAGGAGTTGCCGCTGCAGAGAACCATGAAAGATATGCAGTCGCAAGTCGTATATAACAGTGTCTCTTTTACTCTTATTCCTCCATTTTTTCCTTTTTACAGTCTTTTTTTACTTTGCTGGCGCAAGGGGGCGAGGGGGCGAGGAGAGAGAATTGCGAAAGGCACGCCAAAGGAGGCATTGATCAGGTGAAGAGTCCCAACTGATTTCTATCGTGTTAACTTTATGAAGACAAGTGTAATTCCGTATAAAAGAAGAAAAGAAAATTTTCGGGGGAGAATAAATCTGTAATGAGATGGGATTGCAGAGTTTGCACAAGATTTTTTCAAGTATTGGAAAAATGATTATTTATATCAGCATACCGTAGAATTGCAATTGATGTGTTTAATTAAAGCACGAAAAAAAACCTGTACTTTGTTTAATCCTGTTTGTTCATTCCAAGTGATCCAATGAGACAGAGATCTGGTCATTGTTAAAGCAAGCAGATGGGAATGGACGTGGGAGTATCAAATGAGGAAAAGAACATACGGTTAGAGTTAAAGGGATACAGACAGGGTAAGGTCGCATAAATCGTCGTCGCTCGGATTCCGGGCAGCTTCTCTCCATTGTCCGCTCTGTTGACGGTTTTTCTTTCTTTTCTTTTTTTTTTTGTTATTTTTCCCATCTCTCCACCTCACCTACCATCTTTTGCATACGTTTTCAATCTCATTCTCTCTTTTTCTCTCTCTCTCTCTCACTCGGTGTTCCCAGACAAAGGAAAAATTATTTTCTCATCTTTTGGTGTAATTTTTCCTTCACATCGACAAGTACCTTCACACTTAATTGTACTTTCACAGCGCCAAGGAGCGGCATAACATTTTCACTTGGTACATGATAGTTGAGGATTTTTCAACTGGAAATTGAGAGAGAAAGGTCGATTGATTGCTGTATATAGCCTCTGCATCGTTTACTGGTACACAGTGAGCGGTGACATACTGTCTAAGGACAACATATATATTCTCGCCAACTTCTCACTTTCTATGGTATATTTCGCGTTTGAGTGAGTATTAATTTTTCATCAATTACTGATTTGAATTAATCGAATGCAACTGTGAGAACTTGTGCAAATTAATATTCACGCATATCATGGAGCTGGTTTGGCCGTGAGAAAAATATTATGCACAAACAACACAAAATTAATACTATAAAAAATATGTATCCATGAGAAAGGATATATATTAAGAACATGGCTCTCATGGAAAACCCAATAGCATAAGGGAGTTGTACGATTTAGAGTAGACTTTACACCGTAAGCGGAGGTATAAGCCATAGGTCGTGACGCGCCGTATCTTACATCGGATGTACCGCCAGTGTGGAAACACGGATACGTGCCCCCTCTCATCTTTTACCATAGGCATCTCGCCTCCTGTGTGTTCCAACGCAAAATCCATGTCTCGTACTTTCTACACCTTTCAATATTTCTTTTAACCCTCTCTATGGTCTCGAAAGGATGAAAAAAAAATTTTATATGCGCGCAGATATGATGATGGCTGAGAACTGCACAGAAAATGGCGAGAGAGAGGGAGAGCGAAAGAGCTATGCGCGTATTCCTCATTCCTCATAAATGTTTACTTTTCCTATATACCTTTGTTTCATCTCATTTTTTTCTTCATTCCTCTTTGAATAAGAAATCAAGAATCTTTAAGCCAGCTTGTTTCGTGACATGAGTATGCTAAAATGGCTCGTGGAATACGTTTCAACAGAGAGACATTACCTGGGTCACGAGGAATGCAATTTTTAAAAAGACAGTGCGACCACTCTTTTGTCTCAATTTACTCAGTCAAAAAATTTCATTCATTCACTCATATTGGGGAATAATTGACTTACCGGAAGTTGACTCCGTTGACTCCTTGATATCTCCCACGATGCTGTTCTGGAGGACATTCTCTTTAGCTATAATTACGTATCTGGGCTTTTGACAAATTGGTAAATGCTGTCCCATTGATATGGCTATACGAATACTGGCGTCTAGGATACTCTTGAGTCCAGCGGCATCGGTTGCCGTCACGTTCAACTGATGCAATGTTGATCTGGTTAATAGACTGGGCCGTGCCACTTGCAGCTCACCGGTTGACCGGTCAATTCTAAATACACCGCCTTCATTGCCGCTGATTATTCGATAGGCAATCTGACCGAATAATCCAGCGTCCAAATCCTTTGCTGTGACCTTCAATATCGTCCCCGTTGAGGGTGAATCTGCGCGAATTGTTGTATTGTATTGGAGGGGATTGAAAATTGGACGATTGTCGTTAACGTCATTCACTGTTACTCGCACTATGGTCGTTGTGCTCAGCCCACCTGAAAATAAAAGTCGATCAAGTTATACCGCTGGAAAGATTCAAAAATTCTTCCCTGCTTTTAACAAATATAACCAATAAACGATCCATCTTCTCATTCTATCAGGGAATCATGTGGGAATGGTGAAAGATGGAATTGGTTGCACGTTTGAATTATTGCATCCGAGCGTATTAGTTCGCTCTGCGGGAGCGGACGATTCCTCTCCATGGTGTGTAAGGGCGTGTACATAAGAAAAAGAGGTTCGCGAAAAAATACATATAACAAAACGAAGAAAATAAATGAAAATAAACAAGTAAAATTGCATGGTTGATTGGCTTGGAAAAAAATGCCCAGACGAATGCTTCTCTCAGTGCAACACCATACCACGGTGATTTATGTTGTAACTGGCTCAGGGCAAATGTTCGATTGCTTATACGTGGTCTTCTCAATGATCTTTTGGAATGAACTCTTATTAAATAAATACTTGAATAATTCCACTGTTTCATTAACGCAATCGACTCTCTTTATCAGCGAGAAATGAGATGATATTTTGAAAAATATTATTCTTTGTAACGAGATTCAATACAAATATGTAACTGTGGGTTTTTCAGTAAATGCTGGAAATAAAAGGACTTATCGTGGAAATGTTAAACTCCGTTTGGCATCAATTCTGAGTCATTGTAACATATCCTGCAAGAGCAACACTGAGAATCTTGTGGAGTTTCAAAATACCGCCTTGCAAATACATAGCCTGGCAAGGCATAAATCATACAGCCTATTACAGAGCTACTACTAGATGTTGCGAGCCCGATAGCCACACACCGCACTCTGCGTTTTCCCATTTTTCCTTTTTTCTCTCCTTCCACACTCTACCTCTGCCATTGGTTATTCTTCATTTTCACTATTCTATTCTATTCTATTCTATATATTTTTTTTATCATATCATATAAACTTCCTTTTGACAATATAAAGAGAACATCCGATGCTTATTCCTATTTTTAATTGAACGATGATTATTATTATTCTTGGAATTACGAAAGGAAAATTTACTCATTTTTCTTGCAATGAATATATTGTACAGACCTCTATCTGTTGCAATAACTGGTAGCTCCAAGTATGGCGCTACCTCACGATCTAATGGTGATCTCACGCAGATCTCACCGGTGTCACTTCGCACGAAGAGCTGTTCATTCGCTAGTCGACCAGCTGTCGTCAGGGTATAGTTTACCATCGAGTTGATGCCACAGTCGGGGTCCGTTGCCTGTACCTAGAACAAAATTCAAATAATCATAATATTAATTGGATGGCATTTTTCTTCATGTCTCTATTGCAAGATTGCATATGAATACTTAATAATAAATGAAAATGTTGTTATGCAACAACAGTTCAAATACTGTACTTAGAGCTGATAATGAATGTTTGTTACTTTATCGGAATTCAAATCCTTCTCTCGAGCTAATTTATCCTATTCTAAAAAGAACATACGCCTTAAGCTGTCGCGTAACACTCAGTCCTTGAATTTCATTGGTCGAATATTCGAATCCCCCCGCACGCGTTCGACTTCGATCGGCTTTCGGTTTTCGTGTCACGATTTGTCTTTAACACGCGCGCTCAAGCGCGCGATCGTTCTTGTGGAAAAAGTGAAAACTGAAAAAAAATGTTTTTCGCCGGGGGCCAAAGTGTCAGAACTTTGATTTTTTCAGAGGCAAAGTCGGTCAAAGGGTTACAAGGGTCACGAGGGCCAAAGTGCCAGATCTTGGATTTTTCCGGGGGGAAGGTCGACTTTCGCCAAAATCGAATTTTTTAGCCGGGTGAACGTTGATTCCAACTATTTAAGCGACGGGCTATTCAGAACTCTCAAAAGTATGTGGAAAAACGGAAAACTAAAAAAGTTTTTTTTTTCAGATTTTCAAAGGGTCAGATTTTCCGTTTTCCAGGGGGAAAGTCGACTTTCGCCAAAATCGATCTTTTTAGCCGGATGAACGTTGATTCCAACTATTTAAGCGACGGGCTATTCAGAACTCTCAAAAGTATGTGGAAAAACGGAAAACTAAAAAAGTTTTTTTTTTCAGATTTTCAAAGGGTCAGATTTTCCGTTTTCCAGGGGGAAAGTCGACTTTCGCCAAAATCGATCTTTTTAGCCGGATGAACGTTGATTCCAACTATTTAAGCGACGGGCTATTCAGAACTCTTAAAAGTATCATTCCTCGAATTTCATTGGTCGAACATTCGGATCCGCCCGCACGTGTTCGACTTCGGTCGGCTTTCGGTTTTCGTGTTACGATTTGTGTTTAACACGCGCGCTCAAGCGCGCGATCGTTCTCGTAGAATAAAAACATCATCAAAAATTCATTACACCTGAAATTATGCGTGTGTGCGTGTGTGTGTAAGTGCGCGTTTTTTTTCTCTTCAAGGTAGAGTTGTGATTAATTTCTTTTGTTGGATATTTTTTAGTGGTAAATTCAATGGAGAATATGTGGAACACCCAACGGGCTCGTTCAATCCCTCTTAATGTACGCTGAAACGTGAACATTCGGGTTGGGACCATTCATAATATCCACGGTGACTAATTTCTCGGGCGGCTACTCCAACAAAGATAGAGAGGGTGGAGTTGAGTTCATTGGTGATGAGACATTCTCGGAGACGTTGATGGACGTCGAGCCACTTGATTATTTATTCCGCATTATGTTGTATATCTCATAATTAACTCTTTTTTCCACATTTGTTCAGCAGAAAAAAATATTCATCTGATAATATTTTTATTTCCCTCATGTATGTGTATGTATGTGTGTGTGTGTGTGTGTGTGTGTGTGCTTTTCGACAATTTTATTTCTTTGATTAGGGGTGAAGAAACTAGTTTTACTCGAAGGATGAAGGAAAAACCGACACGCGAGATAATAAAGGAGGAGTCCGTGGGGCATGATTTAGTGTCGGTTGGTCGAATAACTTTCCCGCCAACACTGTTGCCACCTTGAGAAGGAGCATATAGGAAAAAGAAAAAATGAATGAAAAAAAGAAAAAAGTAAATAAATAAAAAATGAATAATGCTGGGAGTGTGTGTTGATGGCTTTAAAGGAGTATGTAATGTTAGTTGGAACTTATTAGGAGAGCAGCGGGTACTGTAGTGCTGCAATGACTGGAGTAATCATGCTAATGAATTACTGTCGCACAGTATCGGTTCCGATCTCGCCTCAGCTAATTCGATGCCCCTTCAGGGTACCATTGGCTTCTCTGGATTTCAACAGTTGAAACACTGTGCAGGCTGGCTCTCACTCTCTTTCTCTCTCTTGCTATTTCGACACCTCATTCAGTTACATAAAATGTTGGTGCATTATTCGATATGATATTAAATATTCTGATTGGATTTTTGTCGGAAAGTACTTGAAGAGGAACAATGAATTCCTTGAAAAGAATCGTAATAATAGACTCTTCGTCTTGTAACAGCTCAGAATGGCCTGATCTTGATTTTTTTGTTGAAAGGGATGGATAGAGCTGTTGTACTGCTCTTCAAGTGAGTCAAGAAGCCATCCACGGTATTCCCGGCTCGCCAGTTCAAACTGACAGTCGTTCATGCTCCTTTTACTCTCCTTATTTTCCTCAAGAGAGAAGAAGATATTTCTTCCTCTTTCAATCTTGATTTTTCTCTTCTTCCCCCTCTCTCTCTCTTTCTCTCTTTATTTTTTGCTTTTCAAGAACAGGTATTGACTGAATTTTCTCAGGGAGCAACAAAACATGTCTGGAGTAACGAATTCCAAGTTGAATATTGCAATCTTGTTGGACCGTCCTACTATTCATTATAGAGAGGAGTATCAATGCACGTGGGTGCATTAAACGCACATATCCATTTCTATGACCGAGATGATTTTTCATTGAAAAATTATGTATTGACAGTCGATGGAGATAGGTCGATGAAGGAGGGGGTATCGCCCACACACAACGTGCATAGGAAAATTAACGAATTAAGGATGAGTGAAGGACAGAAGAATAAAGATCCATGAACGGCAAGGAACAAGCCAAGACATGTATAGTTATACTGAATGCGGCTGTCATACTGTGGATTTGCGTGTACACGAGGTTGCAATGTTAAAATAGATCTTACATGAGAAACTAAGAGAGAACTTGTGGCTCTGTGGCGGAAGGAAAGATAGAATGGACAATGCTACCATCCCACTGAACTCCATAGAGCCGTCACTCAATCGTCGACTGGATGTGAAAGATTAACTGTATTTTCATTTTTTTTTTACTTTTCGTCTTGATTTTTGTTTTCATCTCCTCTCTTCGATATATTGCAAGGCAGTATATTGTTTCAATTAATTTCTTTTCTTTTTCTTTTTCAAATATTCATGGGGCATTTGATAATTTTGTTGAAATATATTTCTCATATATACAGCTATTGGAGAAGGAATTTTGAGAGATGAAAGAGTTCATATTTCACATGACGAGAAATTAATATGAAATAATAGTTTGACCCCTGAACCTTGATGTTTTATTCTTTCAATTTGAATTTTTAAAATGTTATTTGCAAGAGAGTAAAAGGACATACGCGGGGAACCCTTGGGCAATTGCAATGAGATATGGCCGCCAGTTCTCATTAAAATAGTTTAATATATATTTGTCAAGCTATCGCGGCACGAACGCCAAGCATATCCTGCCGAGCGTTTATATTATTTGTTTTTTGTTTTTTTTTCATGCGTCATCTTCATCCGGTTTATTTACATTTTATACAATTTTTTTCTCTCCCTTATTTTTAATGGCCTTATATTCAGTGATCGGCTTGCCGCAGTACTCTCATGACTTGAATTTCGTTTGGCAATTGATGTTGAGTTGAAATTTTATCGATAGATGAGTTTCTTTTTCGTTAAATTGCAACTACAAATGGCAACTGTAGGTGAAATTAGCTTTTGCTTGCAATAAAATTTTCCATGCAAGAGGATGCTAACATTGAAATGACAAAGCAAAAAGGAAAGAAGAGCAGACACTAACGAGTACAACGCGCGAGCCAGATCTTATTGCAGCAAGCACGCGATCTGTTCCCCATTGCGCGATGATATCGATCGTACCGATTAATAATCACAACCAAGTGTGGATTCTCGTTATACATCTTGCAGAGAGGGACTTTCTCTCTTTCAAAAACTTCTTCGTCAACTAGTATAGATTTATATAATTGTGTGTATCTTGTCACTATACGGAACGAAAAATAATGGCAAGTATGTGCACCTGGCAGACACAAAAGAGTAGCAGAATGGAATTTTCGATATTGGATAATTTGCAGTGCACAATCAGCGGTAAAAGAAATATTATGTATAGGGGAATGGCTTTTGCTGAAATAAGTTGAACCTATCAATATTTTAAATGATTGTTAAACGCTATTCTTCAAAATGCTAGTCTACAAGTATATACATTGGAATGGAAATGTAATGAAGAGGCGACTTGTTGTGTATACGAATGTGAAACCCATGCAACGATGACTTATCTTGACAGATTACCGCGCAATCCAGCGTAATTTGTCGGCGGCTCCTATTGCACTCTCTTCCTCCTCAGCCCGTCCTTTGTGGCAACTTCTTTTCTCTCTTCTGCCTTTGATATATTGTTATATAGTTGGTAGAAAAGAATTTTCTCAAAAGCTCGAAAATATTAAAATCTTTGGCATCTTTGGAATTGAAAAATCTATAATGAAACCGTGAGGCTTGAATTCGAGTGGAGGCCGGTCCTTAAGTGGCAGGTGCTTGAGATTCTCCAGCAATGGCTTGCACAGAAACTTATACGAACGAATGGAAAAACAAAAAGGTAAAGTTTGAAGGAGAAAAAAAAGAGAAGAAGATAAAGGAAGGAAGATGGAAAATAGCCAGTCCTTCCTTGTCTCACTCATGCTAAATTCGTATATACTATCGGGTTAGGCCATACTGAATGAGTGTTGTTCTTGTGGACCAGTATTGAAGACGACTTTTGCCGAATTCTTTTGAGTCCTTCTTCTCTCCCCCTCGGCCCCTACTATTGCGCCACTACACTCTGTTCTCCTCTTTCTCCTTGTGCGTTTGAAGGCCCTCCTGGTGAGACTTATGCACCGATTACCCGCACCTGTATGTGCATCGACGCGGTAGATGACTACTCGGTTTATTTATCGAGTCCTAGTGAGACATTTTTTATATGGAACAAATTTTTTTTTCTCAACTCTCCATTAAACTTGTGAGTTAAAAGTATGGCTTTTTCATTCTCATATTTCCGCAGTACGATTAGTTCTAGTCTCATATATACATATCTCACAAG